TTCCCCTCCTCCACTGGACTGCTTTGCTTATGACTTAGACGGAGCTCCCCAGGTCATAGCCCTCCTACACCCATGAGATTCATCCACCCACCACCACCCAATGATCCCACTTTGTGGAGGGGAACCTGAGACACTGAGTGAGTGACAAGGTCATGGGCTCAAGGCCTCACGAAAGTACACCACGGCTGGGGAGAGTGATACCAAGAGCACAGTGAAACATTACGACCAGTTGAGCTTCCTAAGAGGTGATGACATGGCTTGGCAGCCTTTCTCCCTCTGTCCCCGCCGCCTCGGCCTCTGGCCCGAATGTCCCACACTCACACACATACCTGACAGCCGTGAGTGTCCACCGCCGTCCGTTTTCAGGCCCTTGTATGAAGGAGAATGGGGAAGGGGGGATGAAAGGCATTAGAATTCGTGTCTTCCCCACCACAAGGGAGAGCAGGGACAGACCGCACATACCTCCCCTCTTCCTTTAAATACTCTTGCTGAGTATTTTAAAAAAATGCACTTAAAAAAACTAAAATACTTATTTCCAGTTTAAAAAAAGTGTGGACTTGGAGTGAAGTTGAAGACATAGTGAAGGATGGTAGCAGAAGGACTTTGAGAGAGTCCATTTCACCTCGGAGAAGGCCCCCCTCTCCATGTGGAACACTGGACAGTTCTTTTCTAAATGAAAAATGCTCCATCCTTGACTGGCCATGAAAGGCTGAGACTGGCAGGAGGGATGGTATGTAGGTTAGGTTGGGGAGGGGAAATAAGAGCTTTCCCTACCTTTTCCCCCCTCTTTCCGTCTCCTGCCCCACTGTCCTGTGTGACCCTCCCAAGCCTCTGCTGTCTGGTATAGTTCTTCAAGTGAGGTCCCCGAGTGGGGGCTGGGCTCTGACTCGCTTTTGGGGGGTGTCCTTAAGGTCAAAATTATTTTTAAAATATTGTTGTCCTTTTGGTCATGTTTGCACTGATGGTACAAGAACCAAGGGGGTAAGACCCCTGGGACCTTAGCAGGAGTCAGGGTGTGGGACCAAGAGCTGTGCTATGGGCCTTTTGTGTTCCTTCCACTATGCACTTGCAGGAAAAAGGGAAAAGCACCAGTTTCACCTAAAATGTCCTTGATGAAATAGTGAAAATAAACTTTATCAATAACCAAATACACATCTTTTAAATTTCTGAGTAATAAAATGAAAAGTACATGTGACTTCTGCAGTCCTCAGACATGCATCCAGGCTCTGGGTTTGCAAGCTAAACTAACCGGTCTGTTTGTGAGAAATGAATTGTTTTGTTTGAGAAACCAACTGATTGACAAATCATGTTTATTCACACTTGGGTGTTTGACACTTATTTCCTCAAAAACAGATGAAGTAATCCTGTCACTCCAAAGACAACTATTTAAGAGTATTTGTTGCCAGTGTTAAAATTTGAGCTTCCAAGTGAAAATTAGAATTTTTGAAAATTTTTCTGCCTCTGTGAGCTCGATAGCTTCCCAGTGCTTCTTGATGAAATCGGTGGTGATTGTCACAAATGGGATGGTTTGGTATTGTATATTGAAATGTGTCAACATCTTGAAGCAATATTTTCCAAATGACTAATGCATGAGGTTACAAAATCGCACAATGGTAAAAACAAAAAATCCGCACAAAGTGCAAGTCAGTCCCTCTGAACGCTGGTGGAAATGGCTCCATTTTCCAACTGTGTTTAAAAACTGCCACTGGTCCACTTTGGCACAGCATAAGATACTCTCTGTGATGGTCAGAGACAGCCATGGGGCTCACCCTCTTCCAGTTACGTACCCGTGTGCTTCACACACAGCCTCAGCACAGTCAACACTGGAAAAACGCAGGGTGGAACGGGTGGGTCTCTGCTTACATGTGGGATTTCTTGCAAACAGGTCAATAAACACAATAAGATACTGTAAATATATTTTCTTGTGTTTTTTTTTCCTCCGGCTTACTTTAAGAATACAGTGTATAGATAGTGCATATATCCTACCATACAGGCATGAACTGGCTGTTTTTGGTAATGCTTCAGTAGTTTTGGGGAGTCCAAGGTTCTCCTTGGACTTCGAACAACAAGGGGATCGCAAGCAGTGTACCAACCCCCGAGTTGTTGAAGGGCCCACTGTGAACCCCGACTGAGTGTGAACAGCTCTAGGAATCAGCCTTCTATACAAACAGGCAGGTTTGCTAACATGGAAATGGCATCAGTCGATGCCATTCTTAATTTTTTGGAAGTCAGTGTTAATATGGAGTTAATAAAGTGAGTCATGTTTTAATTTCTAATTTGGTAAGCATTGATGAGTGGCCGTGCTAGTAAATGTTTAACAACCAGTTCCTGGAGGGGAGAGAGGTGGAGATCTGGGGAGTCTCTTGATATCCAGGGTGTAAATACTCTGGTCTTTGTCGTCGTAACCACGCCCAGGTACCAAGAAAGCTGATGCCAGGCCGGGAGGAGATGCTGCCCGTCAGCTCTGAGGCCTGAAGCAGGTTGGACACATCCCTGGGAGAATCATCCCAGGGTTTGGGGCTCCTTGCTCACTATTGAAGACCGTAGAGGGGGTCTCAAGAACCAGCTTGAGGGCCTCCCCGGTGGCGCAGCGGTTGAGTGCTGGGTTGCGAAGCTGTCCGCAGCCTCTGCAGCGGCGGTTCGATCCCCGGCCGCTGGTGAGGGTCCCACATGGCGCGCAGACCTCTCCTGCCGCACCCGCTGCTCCCCTCAGCAATGTACTTCATCAGTCTGCCTGCTCTGCTCTCCGCTCTGACTTTGGTGAATTCTCTCACCCTCCCACACTTCTGACTGTACCCAGTGCTTATATAAATAAATAAATAAATCTTTAAAAAAAAAAAAGAACCAGCTTGAGAGCAGGCATCCTGGGACCATCACCCCCTCTTCTGCTGTCATCTCAGCCCCGTCAGAAGCCCAGGAGAGTTGAGGCCTCCATTGCAGATCGTTGAACCTCAAATTCTAATATTCTCAATACACATTCTGAAACTTCTTCCCAATCTCTGCCATCCTCCCGGCTAAGTCTAATGGCTACTGCAAAGAATTTCTGGCTATAAGGAACACCTTTGGGGAATGCCTTCAGTGGGGTGCTGCTGGGTCAGCATTTACTAGTTAACTTGGTTGTAAAATCAGTTCTGACAGAGATGTGACTCAGTGGCTGGGAGCCCGAAGGCCGAGTTCAGCATCCTCCCTCCACCCCCTCAGGGCGGGCGGGCGCAAGGGCAGTTACAAGGAGCAGTTTGTATAAACAAAATACTTTATTATTTGAGGAAGAAAGGCCAAACTACAAAATTTTTATACTTAAGTTGTTCATTAACATGCCAAAGATTTAGAATGGATTTTGGTTTCCATGACTATTAGGACCACTTGAAACTGCTAGCTTTGTAGATTTAAAAAAAGTCAGATATTGGCAATTTCATGTGTTTGGACTCCATATAAAAGGAGCCAATGCCTAAGATTTCTTTCCACAGCAAGATGTCCCCAGCCCATGTCTGTTGATGTTATAAACAGATGTCCGGCGTGATAAACAGGTCCGGCTTGAGAAAAACATCCTGTGTTTACCGATCCTGGAAATCGTCCTGTATATGGAGATCCAGACCCAGACACCCCACTTCCGGCTGGGCTCTCCCCAGCTCCCCACCACCCAATCACCTGATCTAGTGACAAGGGCAGTTTTGTAGAGATGCCGGCTGTGGGTTCCAGCCTTGGGTCCCATGTGGAAATCAACTTGACGTTAACAGAGCGGACCAGAGTTGGAACACTTACTCCATCAAACGCTGTTCTCCATGTGAACTATTTCGATGCCTTCTCTTTCCCTCTCGTTTACCCTCCTGGCCCTGGGCACTCTGCATCCAAGGAAACTGTGTTATGGACACTGAGCCAAAGGGAGTGGCATCTCAGCAGACAGCCCAGCCAGCACCCGACAAGGGCACCAGGAGGGACAAACCACACCTCATTGCTGTCCAAGAGGTTTAATAAACATCCCCCACCCGGCCCCAATCTTCAGCTCTGTACAAGGTTTAACTTTACATGGAGCTGAGATAAAAATAAAGCTTTCTTACAAATTACATTTTTTTCCAGTGAATTACTTTTGCAGTAAAAATAGCTGCTACATAAATCCCTCCTGATCTCTGAAAAGGAGTCACATATTTCCAAAAATAGTTTTCTTATTTTAACCATACAGAGTCCTTTGGGGCACACTGGTGGGGCACAAGGGCTGACCGGCCAGGGCAGGCCGGGTTGTTGGGGAAACACAGCTGAACTAAAAAATAAAATAAGCTTTGTGTATAAACCGATTTACAGGCATGCACGAAAATGGAAAACATACGCCGTTTGTCAAGAAAAATACCGCTTTAGAGCTTGTACGTCACAATTAAAGGAGGAGGCCGAGGGGCCAGAGGTGCCCAGATAGTGTAATAACGTCATGTTCCTTATAAAAATCCCCAAATGTACAAAGTTCTTGCCAGCTAATAACCCGGGCAAAACCAAACCCAAGCAGGCCTCCCCTGCAGGCAGGCTGGGCGTCAGGACGCGCCTCTCGGCCCCGGCGGCAGGTGGGCTCCCCGCAGGCCCGCCCTGGCCCCACAGTTAGAGTGACTTTAAATTACAATGTACAGTGTCTGTCAAATAGGGCCGCGAGCGGATTCCGAGCACAGCGCCGCGAGCACGACCACGTATGTACAGACCCTGCGGCGGCGCTCGGGGCCCGGGCCGCCCCCTCCGGCAGGACGCGGCTCCGGCCTCTCCCGTCCCGGCGGCCAGAGGCGGAGACGACGACACGGACCGAAAAGCAAAACAAAACAGATCAAGAGCGCGCGCCCGCCGCCTGCTCCAGAGGCCCCGCCGGCCCGGCCCGGCCCGGCCCCGGCTGCTCCCGCGGACGGCCCGGACAGCGCGCCCCGCCGGCGGCGTCCAGGGCCGCCGGGCCGCTCGGCGCAGAACCGCGGTTCCGAGGAAACAGGCCCCGTCGGGCCGCTCGCGGGCGCGGACCCGCCCCCGGTGCCGGGGCGGTCGTTCGGGCCGGGCCCGCTCAGTCCTCCGTGTCCGGCTGGACGCCCAGGATGGCGTGCAGCTCCTCGGGCGTGAAGCCCAGCAGGTTCTGCAGGTCGCACACGAACCGGTACACGTAGCGCTTGCCCGACGTCTTGTGGATGATGTTCTTGTCGTAGTAGTAGCGCAGCCCGCGGCTCAGCTTCTCGTAGTTCATCTTGGGCTTGTTCTTCCGCCGGCCCCAGCGCCGGGCCACCTGCGCGCAGGACGGGGCTCGAGGGGGGCTCGGCGGGGACCCCCACCCCGCCTGCCCGGGGGGGACGCGCCCCACCCCACCCCACCCGCGGCCCGCCGTCCGAGGCAAAACCCCCGGGGCGCGGAGGGCCCAGCATTGGGGGTCCTGAGACAGCGCAAGGGCCCCGCATTCCCCCCCTACGTCCCCCCCCCGTCCCCTCCCGCCCCCCCACGTCCCCGGGCGTCACCGTACCTCGTCGGGGTCCGCGAGCTTGAACTCCCACCCGTCGCCGGTCCAGCTGATGAAGGACTGGCACGACTTGTCGGACAGCAGCTCCAGGAGGAACTGCCACAGCTGGATGGGGCCGCTGCCTGCGGGACAGGGGCGGTCAGACCCGGGACTCTGGGGCCGGCCAGCCCCGAACACGAGGCCCTCGCCCCCGTGTCTTCATCCTGGAGGGAGGCCACCGCCTTTGACTGCTGGTGCCGTCCTCCTGGACGAAAACAGGGCCACCAACTCCTGGCATCCAAATCCCTCGCCCGGTTTAATTGCGCCTTATGTAATAACTTTCAAGGTTTATTTCTAGAAACACCCAGTGGGTCGGGCGGGGTGGGGAGGGCATTCCAGCCCACCGCGAGGCATCTGTGGCATCCGGCCAGGGAGGTCCTGCCCAGTGCATAAGCTCAGCAGCCTGCAGACCCAAGGCCTCGGTGCCTGACAGGTGAGGGCGCGCTGGGCAAGGGATCCGCACCCCCTCCTCCATCAGCAGGGAGAGCCGCCCCCTGTGAGGGCAGCGCCCCGGGGCTGTCGAATCAAGAGGCGCCTGGCGGGAGATGGGGCCCAGACAGGCAGAGCTCCGTAGGCCCACGGCTCCCCTTCTGCAAAATGGGCCCGTACCCCCAGGCCTCCGGGCAGCAAGGCTGCTGAACGGTCAGCGCCGACTCCCCGCCGCTGAAAACTACCACTGACTTCACAGACTAGGTGGATTTTAATACGGTTATGTGGCTGTTTTGTACAACGGTGAAAAGCAGATGTGTCTGTACTCTTATTTTAACCTCCTGGGCTTTTAGGTAGGTGTTTTTCTATCCACGGTGGCTCCATATGGTCAAAATATGCAACAAACACACATCTAAGGACACATGAAGCAATGGGGAAAAAACCCAAACTTGGTATTTTCACTCAAGTATTGGACATATCTGGCTCTAAAAACAGACTTAATATTTGTCCCGTGCCCAGAATAGCTCTGGCCCTAACCTTTAAAATAAGATGGATTTGGGAAGCACGAAAAGGTAAACAGCCCCCGTAACTGGAGCCTGGCCCTGCTGTCCCACCCAGAGCAGTTTACATTCTTTGAAATTCCTGGAGGGGTGAGTCAGCGCGAAGGACTCCACGCCTCCCTGTCCCTCCTCCTCTGCAGAAAGGACAGGCGCATCCCAGGTGAGCAAGAGGCCTGTGGGCTTTCACCCAGCCCCGGCTCTGCGCCCATGCTGCCTGCCAAGCTCTCTGCCCCGTGCTGGCCTTTTTGGAATTTGGGGGTACGAGGAGCTGGGATTCAGGCTTACACTCCACATATAAAATGTGGGGCATGAACACCAACGCGCTCGGGCTAGAAACACCCTGCTAGACCCGGCACTGCGGTAGGCAGGGAGGGTATGGGCCCCAGATGGCACACTCACCTGTGAAGCCAGCCAGCACGGCCGCAGGTATAACTGGTTTGCCTTGCTCTACCGGGTCGCTCCGCTCCTGGATGTAATCCTTGAAAGACATGGTCGGCTTGCTGAGGCACAGGGACTGGCTGCAGTCGTCCTCGAAGCTCTCGAAGGAAGGCACTCGCTGCACGTCCAGCAGAGAGGACTGGCTGTTCCAGGACTGCAGCAGGGAGTCCGAGCTCTCGAAGCTGTCCGGGCCGTTCTCGGGCGAGTCATGGTCTCTGGGCTTCCCTGGAAAACACAACCAAGAACAGCCTTTGACTCCTCCAGGGCGGTGGTATAAGTAACCTCGAAGTGGTGTGGGATTGGTGGCCGTGTCACCACCTACCATCCCCAGCTAACTGGCTTCCCAGCTGTTGCCGCCTCCCTCAGACTACATAATGCTTATTCCTCATGATCAGCCACGTCTTCCATCAATGGTAGGTCAGATAAGTCAATGTGATTGTGGGGCTTTGCAGAATGAAGTACTATACAGCGGTGAAAAAGTAAAAATGGCCACCACTTCCAACCACGTGGATAGACCTCGGACATAATGACCAGGCAAAGACAAATACAAAGAACACACGTGGTTTGATTCCAGGGATCTCCAGTTCAAGAAGAAAAACTATGATGGAAGTGAAGTGAGGACAATGGTTTCCTCTTGAGGTGGGGATACCACTGACTGGATTGGGTATGAAGAAGCCTTCCTGGGCGCTGGGAACTTCTCTCTCCATCTGGATGGCTGTTCCACATTATATACATGGGAAAATCCTACCAGTTGTACAGCCTAAGATTTATGTATGGTATGACAGATTTCATAAAAAGAAATCTGCCACATTCCTACCTTGTCTTCCCAAATTTTCCACTGGGCGGAAGACTCTAGCCTCAAGTGCAGTGACTATGTCTGGCTGACGCAACACCCTCAGTGCCCAGACCAGAGCCTGAAACTACAAGGAAGATCGCCCAGCACCTCGACACCCCCACCCCAATGGCTGAACTCGGGCACACTGAGCAGCTTGTGCCTGTCTGACAAGCGGCTCCCGGATTTGAGCCTCCAGCCTTGTGGGGAACCGGGGTCTTACCAGAGCCGTTGGTGAGCAGATTCAAACTGCCGCCCGGGAAGTCCTGGCTGACGGGGCAGTAGTTGACACTGACGGTGTTGAGCCGAGACTTGGGGAACCCCTGAAACTCCTGCTCAGAACCGAGTGCACGGGGTGCCCCCGAGGAAGGACACATGTTGTCCAGTAGGCTGCCTTTGGGGTAACTCTGCGCCTGCATCCCGTACGGGGCCTGCTCCACGCCAAAACCTGCAAGTCAACCATGAGACCGCAGAGCTGTCAGGCGGGTCGTGTGTCCTCGCGGGGGGCTGTGCCCCAGCAGCGTGCCGGCGGCCAGCTGCCTGTGTGGTGCCTCAGGGTGTAACCACACACACCCCTGGATGGTCTGGGGTGCAGTGTACTGCATCTTTGACTGAAACGCCATTAAGAGACGCGGGACTCATGGACCCCACAGACCCTCGTGCCCTCCCGCCAGTTTTGCACGTGCTCCGCCTGCCACCCTCCAGAAACGCCAGTGGAAGTGTGGGCGTGGTAGGCAGGGTGCCCACCGAGTCCTCTTTCTCTCTAACCATTCGCCTGCCCTGTCAGCCCCTTTCCAAAGTGGCAGCAGGCGCGGGACCCAGGACACAACATCTCAGCGTTCGCACTTCTGCGGCTCTCCTGTGACCCTCGGGATGAGGGTCCCCCGCGCTCTCTACGTCCCAGGACGTGGGGCTGGGATGAAGTGACTTGCCGCCAGCATGTGACTCCCGGAGCAGCTCCAGTCAGCCCTCCCGCAGGGCTGGGGACCCCCGTAACCCACTCCACGGTTCTCTTGCTTGGGACTCCAGTCAGAGAAAATGGAGCATTGCTTTCCACACACTGCCTGCGCCACCGCCAACTGCTGCACCAGATCTGAGCACAGCTTGTTTCATCCTGTCCCCGGGCCCCCTCAAGGGGGAGTGTTCACATTGTTTCATCCCAAGGCTTTTGGGTCCGGTGCGCCACACGGCCCCGGGGGGCACACCAGGCGCATGGCAGCAGCCAGGGTGGGGCCCCAAGAGCCTAGACGTGGCTTCAACCTTAGTAAATCCAACAGCAAGACACAGAAGTAAACTTCATGGCAGATCAACAGGACTAACCTAGTGAATTGCTATTAATCCAATGGGGAACTGAGTTGAGGTGGGAATTTTCTTCGTACTGAGCTTCTGTCTTTTCTTGGTTTTCTGAAAAACAGACACAGGACACATAAGCTGCAAATCGAGGTTAAAACTACACAAGGGTGTTACTTTCAGAATTTTTTTTTTTTTTTTTTTTAAAAGATTCGTCCATTTATTCACACAAGAGCTGGGGCACAGGCCAGAGATGCGGGGGGTGAGAGGATTCACCAGAGACAGAGTGGGGAGCAGAACAGGCAGACTGACTGAAATACACTGCTGAGGGGAGCAGCGGGGAGACAGGAGAGGTCTGCTGCGCCATGTGGGTTGCTCCCGGGCCGGGGATGGAATTCGTGCTGCAGTGGCTGTGGACAGCTTCACAGTGCTGAGACTTAACCCCTTGCGCCATCAGGGGGGCCCCAACTTTCAGAATTTAGGCAGTTATTTCCGAGCAACTAGCTTTCAAGCCATTTAGCATTTCACTTTTAATTGGTGTATTCCATGCCACCAGGTCGTCTTAAAAAACTAGAGACACCAGCACATTTTTGTAATAACTAGCATGTTTTCCAAAATGAAAGCTGTTACGGGCAAAGCCAAGCTTTTCGTTGCGTAATCTCAGAGATCCAGATTGTGTATTCATCCACGCAGTCAACAAATAACCAAATATTCACAAAGTGCCTCCTGTGTGGGGCCCGGGGAAACAGCGGGTCAGTGAGATGGACAGTCCCTGCCCCGGAGGCTTACGCTCCGAACAGAACGTTCCTCCAGGGTGTGGGGAGTCTGAAGGGGGACACGAGTGCCCAGGAACTTTGAGGGGAAAGACTGGCCCTCTGGGTGAGCTACGTGCCCCCAAAACAGCCCACACCTACTCCCCGGGATCCAGACCCGGGACTCACACCCAAATCAGTCACCGAAGCACTGGAGACTTCTCGGATTAGCCTGGTCAAGTCGAGGACACTGGGGGTTTCATAAGCAAGTTTCCCTGGCCTTTAGGAACCTAAATAAAAAAGCTGCTGGCTGAATTCTAAGAGCTTGGTGAGGTTCCGTCTGTAAGAGACACTGACACTCGGTGTTTGAAATCAATTAAATGAGGCCTATTTCCCTGCACTCTATTACCAGACCAATTTTCCTATATATTTTTACCTTCACTCTAATTATTTCTCTGTTGGCTCAACATTTTTAACACTGAGACTTTTTAAAGTCTAAATACCGAGACCAGGTCTCCACATGATGAGAGCTCTTTTGCTCAATGGCAGTTTTTATAGAAAAATCAGTGTGTAAGTACAGACTGGCTACTTCTCCCTTTGCGCAACAACGTGTCCCGCCCCCGTTCTTGTTGGAGCCCAGCGGGTCAGCACCCTCGTGGGGTCCGTGAGAGCCAAGACTCCAGGTGCCTCTGGCTCCGCAGGGTCCTGCTGCGCCACAGCCTGGCCAGGACGCTCGGCCTCTGGTGAATGTCCTTGGGCCGCTGAGCTAGTGACTTCAGCTGCTGCCTGCGGCCATCCTCACCAGCGCACACACGCGCCACACCCGCACACACATACGCACGCGGGCACACACACATACGAGCGTGGAGTCCCACTCCACCATCACCACCGCCCCGACGGTCCGTGTGTCCTGCTGGGCCGCGTGTCCCGGGTCATGTGGAAGGTGACCACGGGCCTAGAGCACCGACCCCACATGTCCTCAGCGGGTACCTTTGATCATCTGCTCAAGATGCTCCCAGAGAATGTCGCCCACAAAGTCCGGCGCCAGCTCCAGGAAGCGCTCCTTGCCGAGGTCACACAGCACCTGGCCATTCATCCCGAACCTCTGGATGTTGACGTTCACCAGACTGAACTCGTTGGTGGCCCAGAGAAGCCACTGGCACACCTGCTGCTCGGTCCACAGCCAGGGGTCTGCGGGAGGGAGGGGGGCGGGCACGGGGAAGACAGCAGGTGGGGGCGGTGAGACCAGCGTACTGGCACTGCCCGCTGACCCACGAGTGGGGAGGGCACCCCGGGCCCGCGGGAGAGCCAGATGCCCAGCTGCTCCCTCCGCCTCCCTCCCCCCCCCCCATCATGCAGGCTCAGAGGCAGCGAGGAACACTTACTCTTGGGAATGCCAAGGCGGCGCTGCTCCTTTTTGAAGCCACTGAAGGTAGCTTTTAGGGCCTGACTCATCACGGCCTTGCTGCAGGGGGTGAGCAGGGGCAGCTCGCAGTTGGTGGAGTCTGCAAGGGAAGACCCGGGACGCTAGGGCTCAGGCCATGTCAGAGGGAGAGTTTTGGGGAAGAATCTGAGTTTCCAGGGAAGAATGATTTTGATCGCAAAGCTGGGCAAGATTCCTTAAGAGAACAGCTATTAACTACAACTCTGGACTGAACTGAGAAGCCACTACACCGCGTACAACGACGCTGAAGCATCTAAAAGAAAACTCAGGTTTTACTTTATTTTGTAAAGGTTCCTAACGCAGCTGCGCCTGGGTAAAATGTTTACATAATCTAGTTAAACCTCTTAGACGACGCAAGAAATCGCAGGGTTGTTGGTCAAAGGCTACAGGACTGTAAGTGCCTAATCTGGAGGCGCTTCCTGAAAGCCGCAGCCAGGGAACTTGTGTGCACGTAGTAGGCACGCACGGTACCTACAGCAGGCCAGTCCACACCTTCTATCTTTATTGAAAGGCATCTTCTCTGGGTTCCCAGTGCAATGTGGAGAATGGTAAATGACCAGCACCTGATCAGAAGCTCACGTGAGCCTGTGTGTTTTTACCAATTTTCTGTACTTTCTAGCACCTTCTTTAAATAAGAAAGTAACCTCTGGAACATTTCCAACTAACAGCTCGATCACATCAGTGGCAGAGACATTATCTGATGTGCTAGTTCTTTTAAAAACAATAGACGACGACACTGAGAACCACAGAAATAAACACAGACGGGTAACAACTAGAATAATCTGACCTTCCAAAACTTGGGCGGGCCAGGGGGAGGGACCTACCAAATGAAGACCTGGGGTGCATTTTAATGTCCACTGGTCTGCCTTGCAGAGCGGACCTGGGAAGTGAGGCTGGGGCTCGCTGCGGGGTTGAAAACCCCCTGATGGAAACCGCTGTGGTTTTTCCGCGGGCTGCTGACAGCAGGGTGCTCGCCCCCACTGGGGGTGCGTCTGACACCAGAATCATCAAGCTCATGAAACAGGAAAGCTGTCTTCTCCCCAGGGAGGTCCTGCTTCCCTAGCGGAGTCTTTATCACAAAGACTCAGGACCCCAGCCGGCACGGCTGACAGCGAGCAGCCCCCGCTGTCTGGACTGGAGCGCGGGGATCCCGCAGAGTCTGTCAGGTCTGGGGAACAAATTACCGTGAGAAATGGAGTCCAAGCCTGTGGGCACTTCTTGGAGCGTCTGCTCTTCATTTAGGGACGGGAACACAGCAAACAGAGACCCGTCGAAGGTGTCAAACGCCGGCTGGCGCTGCAGAACGGGCAGAAAAGGGAACTTAGCAGACGCATTCAGTGACCTGAAAAGGGGGGTGGGGGACCTTAAATCCCTATTAACCTGCTGAGTCCAGAGCCAACCATGGACTTGGTCAGGCAGGACCCTGGATAGACGGACTTCTGAGATGGGACCGGGGGACTCTATTTTCCTCACTTCTCTCAACATCACAGAATCAGAACGACTGGGAATTTATTTTCAAGCAATTGAGTAAACAGCCCTAAGCGAAGGGCAGCTTAGAAGAGCAGGCTGGGCAGGCCTGAGAGGACACCAGGACCAACGCCGGCCTGGCTGCCACACAGGGGAGAAATTTAGTCGGGTCGCGTGTGTCTAAGGAAAACGACTCCCGAAGAGGCGGTTTTAGCTCACTGCAGTTACGACGACTGGAAACCAAGCGAGGAAGTCAGGGGTCTGTGGTGGCGTTCTGAGACGTTTACCGCGGGACACCTGACCTGATTCTAGAGCTTTCTCCGCGTCACGTCCATGGGGCGGGAGCAAGGATCCATGTAAGACGTGCCTTCAAGTTTTATTTGCTAAAAGAGCACACTGACAAGAACCCCCGCGGATGTGAGGCTCGGGGAACGCTTCCAGGAAGCAGGATTTTGTGTTAAACTGTCTACAGTTTAGGGGCGACAGACACGGAGAGTTGGAACCTCACCCTGCCAATTTCTGACAGGCTCAGCTGACATTTCTGGAAGAAACAGGGAGCCTGGGTCTTAGGCAACAGATAATGTCCTGATTTACTGCCGCTTAACTTGTAGGAGAAACAAATGGAAGAGAAGTTCTCTTTTTTCCCAACCTAAGCTGGAAATAGCATGCCTGTGATGTAATGAACGATTCAGTTGAGTCATCAATTAAAAAAAAAATGTGTAACACATTTGCAAATAAAATCAGCGTGAGTGCTTCCTTTTAGACACGCAGAACAATGCAGGAGGCCACAGTGAGGGAGGGCTGGTCTGTGGGACCCAGTGGACACCTGAGCCCGGCCCGTGCCAAGGCCGTCCAGCTGCGCAAGGCCCACCAGGGAACTAGCCAGGCCTGGAACACTCGCCCAGATCCACAGCCTGCGGCACGGCAGGGCTAATGGGGTGCCGTGACCTGTAGATTTCCACAGCTCCCGCTCGCATCACCCAGGGGACCAAGGGATGCCTGTCCTATCCCAGCTGGAGTTTTGTGGGTTTTTTTGGCCTTTTAAATCAGGAGCCAAAAGGCACAAATTGGCAGTGCACATTTCAGCACGTCACTCTAGTTAGCAATGAGGGTTTCCCTCCAAATCCAGAGGAGGCCTAAGCATCACCCAATTCTCGTGATGTACATTAGAATGCCTCTTTCTAGGGGTGTGGTTTCAAACACAGCACGCTGACTTCCTGTATAGTTTCTGCCGTGGACTTTGCCTGACCAAATCGAGTAAGACATTGGGCCAGCCTGGAGCTACTCTCCTAGGTGACCCCAGGCCACCCACTTTGGGCTGACTGGTCAGGGGAGGCTGACCAATGACCTGCTTCACCATCACCTCCCGGAGGCCCTGGGAAGCCATTAGTGCAGCTGCAAAGAGGATCCCCAGCGGGGTGGACAGAAAGGACAGGAAGCTACCCGGACGTTTCTGTAGCAGGGCGGGGAGGGTTCTGTCCTTGTTGATCTGGTTTTTGGTTTACCCGTGTAGATGTGGGGCGCTGCCTATGTTGACGGGCACAGCTCCTCGGGATAAGGGAGCAGCAGCAGCTGGTCCCGTTTGCTCTCTAAGCGCTTTCATTTCATTTCTCCCCTGAGATGCTGGGAAACAGCGCCTCAGCTCTGGTCTGTTGAGAATCAGAGGATTCTTCACCTGCAAGGAGCCTCAGAAATAAGCTACCCAGGTCCCCTGATCTGCAAATGAAGGGGTTTCCGCTCTTGGGCAGGTAGAGTGAGCACCGGAGGCCCAGAGAGATGCGGGAGAGGCCAGAGTCCCCGGGGCAGTAGATTAAAACACCAGCGTTGGACTCAGCCTTCCAGACCAGGCTCTCCAGTTCGTCCCAGACTGAATTCTCCAGGGGGAAAAAAAAATCCGACTCATACACTCACCTTGAGTGTCCCTCTGTACACGCTGGACACAGGAGCCACCTGGTCCATGTTCTTCATCCCAAAGTCATTCATCTTAAAGAAGGAAAAGAAGAAAAAGAGAGGGAGAGTCAAAGAGGCAACATTTCAAAGCACGTACATTTCAGGTTTCCCCTCCGCAGCTGGTGGGGTCAGGTTCTCCAGCCTCTTGGCTAGAATGCCAGGAATTCTTATTGAAAAGACCTTTTCCACAAAGGGCCTGCCATTGAAGTAATTAAATAATAATGCCAATTCCCCACAGAATTCCACTTAGGTGGAGGCTGGAGGAGAAAGTCACTGGAGTCACTTTGGGCTGACTGGTCAGGGGAGTCTGGGGTGGGGGGAGCAGAACCAGGGGGCCTGAGTCTCTGGCAGACCAGTGGGGTAGGGGCTGGGAGGCTGCTTTTCAAGGCCATTTCCACAGTATGCTCAGGGCTTGGGCCTGGGGGACTCTGGGAGGCCAGGCCAGCTGCCCTAGTAACTGGCCTCCTTTGGGTCCTCCCAGCGGGTGGGGATCCAGGAAAGCAGGCTGGAAGGAGCCAGGCCCCCTTCCCAGGACATACCGCCAGGAAGTGCACACCCCGCAAGGAGAGAACGCAGCCACTGTTTCAGACCACCCCTGGTTTAACCCAGGTCCCCGGTGAGCCCCAGACCCCTCGCTGGTGCTGCGTGTGGCTCAGCTGTGCATTTCTCCGCTGGCCTTGACCAAGTCTGGGCTTGAACTCCAACTGCACCGGCCAGGGTGGTGGCCCGCAGCCACCTGTGGGGCTGAGCGCTCGGCCAGGGTGGCACCAGATGTGCCTAGCGGGTCTCAGGGACGGTATCTCAGCGCTGACTTCCCCGACGTTCTGGATGTGCTCGCTTGAGATACACAGAGATCACCCTCCTTGTCGTCTATCTAAGGTGTCTGGGAAATTCGCAGTTACATGTGCGGCCTCTGGCTGGACAGGGCTGCCATGGATGGGAGACTTGGGCCTCTCAAGTGTCACTATTTCCTGCTAAGTTACATATTAACAAGTGAAAAAAGCACCTAGTGATAATGGCTGGGATCAGATTTAAAAAAAAAACAGACTCAAACTCATTTTCAAATAAGGTGGGTGAGCAGGGATGAGAATGACCTTCACACCACCTCCAGGAGGCAGCCTCCCACCCCCTCACCTCTCACCCCCATCCGGAGGCAGCTTTGTGGCCCCGGTGAAGGCCTGTAAGGAAGCTTGGGGGGGGGGGTGTCCTCCAAGTGGCCACCTGTTCATTCAAAGCGCCCCTAACTTGCAGCGACCTGTGCCAAGTGAGTGGCAGAGCTGATGGAGGTGGTGAAGCATCTCCCCAAAACTGGTTAATTTGGGATTGTGTCATGTTTTCTTGTTCTGATCAATAGTATGGCTTAGCTGCGCGCGCACGCGCACACACACACACACACACACACACACACACCTGCTGGAGTGGGAGGAGCCTTGGCAAGAGGTGAGAGGCTGTTAGAGCCCTGGGTGCTGGTAGTTATCATGGTGCCAGAGAGGCCAGAGAGGCTGGAGAGAAATAACAGTCCTGGGGCCCCAGGGCAAAAAGGGGTGCCCTGGGCCCCCCACATGTGCGCACCATCTACCTTATCACACCATCCACAGGTGCTCAAGACTGGATCTTCACTGCCTCAGAGGGCGCTGGGACAGAACCCTACTCATGAAGGGCCAAGAGGGAGGCTTACCTCCCCCCTTCGACTCCCCTGGGAGCGCAGGTCCCACCATCATCGTACAGTGAGGCAACATGGACCTCTAGTAACTTGCCAAGGGTCACAGCTAACAACCCCCACCCCAGGGAGTGCCAAATCCCAGCTGAATGTGGAGCCCTAAATCCTGAGCTCCTGGAGCGCCAGGATAACCTGAAGGGGAGGCGGCTTCCCCCACGTCACCCAGAGGCCAGGGCCCTCTGTGCATCATTTACTTGGTGCACCAAGTCCTGTTACCCGTGGGTTACATGAACACGCCACAAACAGAAGACCGGAGTGTAAAGACATCTTGCCTGTTGCCAATTAGCCACCTGGAACCCTAAAGGAAAGCTCTTTTCTTTAGGGGGGATCTGGTTTGGAGACGACCTGCTGCTGGGTTCTAGATAGTTCAGCCTGGCAGGGTTTTCAGCGTGGAGGGAGACGGATAAGCTCGGCCTGATTTCGGTGCACAGATACCAGGCAAAGGCCGTCCACCACTCCCACATCAGGAGCTGTAATTACTAGCTACAGAGCAGAATTCTTTTGTTGTCCAGCTTTTAATGAGTTTTGTAAGAACCAAGGAGAATCAAAGCGCTGCACCGTGGTTTCAGGCAGGCTCCCAGCTAATCAAATTTAAGTTCCCGCATTCGACTCCCCGCGGCCTGTGAAGGTGGAGGGCAGGCCAGGCTGCGCCGCGTAAACCAGGCTCAAATGCGGGGCCTCTGGGTGTTTCCCCGTCGATTGGACAAAAAAGGGGGGGCAGGCGCAGCAGCGAAAGGGCAGCATTTTAGAGCCAGGACTCGCGGCCGGCGGGCTCTTCCCGAGCAAGGCACGGCCTCTGCGCACGGGCCTCGGGTCCGCGCCCATACGGAGATCCCCGCGCAGCCCCGGGGGCACCTGGGGGGTCTGGTTTGCCGCCCCTTTTCAAGTTATCACTTTGGAGAGAGAAATGACTGATCCCAGACACGAGAGTTGGAACACCTCCTCGCGGGGTGCTGGATGTGGTGCGCCGAGAGCGCCCCGAATTTTAATAAAGCTTAACTTGGAGCTTTATCTCCCCGATCGCGCGGCGTGGGCTGGCAGCTGAGGTGCGGGCGCCTCCCCCGCGCGGAGCGCACGCCGTCCCCTCCTCGGAATTACAGTAGAACCCCCTTATCTCCAAGGGGCCGGCTCGCGCCCCGGCTTTCTAAATCCGCCCCGCGCCAGCGCCTCTCCGGGCTGCTGGGAGCGGACACGGGCCCGCGCCCGGGAGGCCCCTGCGCTGCGGCAGGAAAGCGCCCGCCGCCGCCCGCCCAGAGCCTTCAGGACGCGCGCGCCAGGGGCGCCCCGTTCCCACGGCTCCCCGTGCTCGCCGGCAAGACCCGGGTCCAGACTCTCGGGGCGCCAGCAGGGGTCTCGCCAGAGCGCCGGGGCGCGCGGGCGCCCCCGGCTCAGCCCCCCGCGCCCGCCGCCCCCGCCGCAGCCCCGGCCCGGCAGGTGACCCGGCGCCGCAGCCCCCCGGCGTGCCGGGCGCCCCGATCCCCGCAGGCCCGGCGCGCGCCGGTCAGCCCCCCGCGCGGCCGGGCGCGCCGGCCCCCGTCCCTCCGCGAACCCGGGGCCCCCAGGCCGGGCCCACGGCAAGTGCGACCCGTCGGCGCGCCCCGCCCGAGCGGCCGGCTCGGGGACCCCCGGCGCGGCCCAAGTTCGCCCGGCCGGGACCAGGTCCGCGCGCCCCCGCCCGCCGGCGCCCGCGCCTCCCCCGCCCGCCCGCCGGCGCCCGCGCCCCGGGCCGAGACCCCGAACCCGGAGGCGCCGCCGCCCCGACCTCGGGGCGCCCCGCGCCCCCGCCGGCGTCGGCCCCCCGCGCCCCCGGCACCCCGCTCTTACCGCGGCTGGGGCCCGGCCGGCGGCGCTCGGGCCGGCTCCTCCGGGCGCGCTGGGGGCGAGGCGGCCGGGCGGGGGCGCGGGGGCCGGGCGGGCGCGGGGGCGCTGGGCCGGGCGGGGGCGCTGGCTGGGGCGCGGGGGCGCTGGCTGGGGCGCTGGCCGGGGCGCAGGCCGGGGCGCAGGGCCGGGGGACACCGCGCTGCGCGCCGCCGCCGGAGGAAGTAACCGGCCTGTCCCCTCCGCCTCGCGCTCTTCAGGGGCCGGGGGCGGAGCCGGGAGGAGGGGCGGGCGGGGCGCGGGCGGGGCGGGGCGGGGGGCGGAGAGCGCGGGGCGCGCGGGGCGGGGCGGGGGGGGCGGGAGGCGGGGGGCGGGGGAGGCCGGCGGGGAGGCGCGGGGGAGGCGCGGGGAGGCCGGCGGGGCGCGGCGCGGCGCGGCGGGTTGGGGCGGCTCCTTCCGGCGGTCGGGCCCGCGCAGCGCCCCTGGGCTCCGCCCTCGCCGTCCGCTCGGGACCCGGGGCCGGGCCGGGGCCTTTCCTTGGGGGGCCCCGGCGCCCCGCGCGGGCTCCACCGCCCAGACGCCGTCCGGGCTCCGCGGGAGGAGCGGGGGGCGCGGGGCGCGGGCAGTGAGGGGCGCGGGCGGCCCCTACTCGGGCCCCCCGCGCACTCGGGGTCCTCGTCGCTCCGTCCCGAGGCGGCCGCGGCGCGGGGAGTCACCGGGGGTCCCCGCCCCGGCCGGTCCCCGTCCCCGTCCCCCTGGAGGCCTCGGCGCTGCGGGCGCTGCGGGCCCCGCCGGGGCGCGGGCGGCCCGGGGCGAGCGGCCGCGGGGCCGGGAACCGAACCCGGGGAGCGCGGGGCGGAAGCTCGTGCCTCGACCCCGCCCGGCGGGCCCCGCGCCGCCTCCCGGTCGCCGCAGCCGCGCCCGGGCCGGGGCCAGACGCGTGGCGTTTCCCGCCGAGCCCCGCGGGGTCGGGGGAGATTTGGCTCCCGAAAGGCGGGCGCCGAGTGAGACACCCCGGCTGGAGGCGACCCGGGGCTGCGGCGGCGCGGGGGGAGCCGCCTCGCTTCCCCGTTGCCAAGGTTCCCGGTTTCCATGGCAACCCCAAATCTGGCGTTACCGGGACGGCTGAGACACTGTCGTTGCACCTTGATGGTTCCCGGGACCTCGGGGTCTCCAGGCCTCACCCCTGGCGCCCGCGGGTCCCCGGCGGGGCGCGGCGGGGGGGCTGGCGGCGGGTCCGGGTTGGGGGTCCCGGTGGCTTCCGCGGGGACGTTCAAGCCGGGATGAGAAACCCTAGATAGGTCAGGAAGGCGCTTCGCAAGTGGAATCCAGATCCATCGTGCGTTGCCATGGAGACGCGAAGAGGATGCTACTTTTTTTTTTTTAATCGACAGAAAATTCTGACTCATCGGGGCTGCACTCGCGGCTGGTACCGGGTCTTTTCCTCCAGGCGCCTCACCCGGGCCTCCTCGGGCCCCTGTCAAGTTCTGGCCTCAAGGCGGGGCCGCCTGGCCCCACCGCACCTGCTCCAGTGCCCGTCGGGGTTCAGGCACGGGGTGCTCGGGGACCCCGCTCCTTGGAAAAGCGTCTCTCCCCCAGGGGCTGGTGCGGGCTGGGGTTTGGCTCCCGGGGACTGTTTCCAACACATCAGAGCAGAGCTGTCAAGGCGGGCGCGGGGGCGCGGGAGGCAACCTGCTCCCAGCAAGGGTTTTTCTGCACCCGCTGCCTTGTCAGACGGGGGCTGCGCCTGCTCTGCAGAAGACAGTGACCGGCACCTGCGGCCTGGGCCGTGGGGAGCGAGGGGCGGGAGGCAGACGTGGGAAGGACATGCCGGGCCTGGACACAGGGAGAGGGAGGCTCAGAGTGGCCATTGAGTGTCAACTTCCAAACTCTTCCTCTGGCAACATCTTGGGGGAAAAAGCCTTTGGGAAAAAAAAAAATGCCATAGGCGTGAAAAGGAATCACCCAGATCCTGGAAAATGACCCCGCCAGAGCTGGAGAACAGGTGGGGAGGACCCTGGGAGTGGAAGCAGGGCACCCCCAGCCTGGGCTCCTGGCCCCCTCCGGGCGCCTTTCACTCCTTGCTGCCCTTCCCCCAGGCCAGGCTGGGGCTCCTCCAAGCTGCCCCTGCAGTCAGTGGACCCCCTCTATTTGCCGGTCGTCACATGCTCCTGATAAAATGCTTATCCTGCTTCTGGGGCATGATCAGGACGCCTAAGGTTTTTTTTTTTTTTACCTTCCTGTTATTAGTTGGTTTCCTAGTTACGCAGCAGAACTTAAACTGCCCGCTGAAGCCTCTGATTATTCATTGACTATTATGGCTTGATTCACAGGGAACACCGTGTTTTACAGTAAATTAAACCCAATAAAAAAAAAAGAACAGCCTTTGTGCTCCTAGATCAAAAGTCAAGGTGTCCACAGGAGGACAGGAGGGGGCGGGGGGTGGGGGGGCATCCAGGGCCCGCTCAGCTCAGCTCAGGTCGCTCAGGAGCAACTCTGACGTCCCCCTAAAGAGAGGGGGGGCGGGGGCGAGCAGCGAGCTACACCTGTAAATATTGAATGTCTAGAGAGCAAAACGCAGATAGAGTTCTCCAGAATCCAGACGTAATCATTAAAAGTTATTAGCTCGCCGAGTCAGCCTTCTAAAAAACAGCGAAAATGTCGCCTTAGAAACATGTCTGTTTACCTTGAAATGAAAATCAGCAGTCAACATGTTCTCGACCTCAGGGGTGGTTTCTAGCCAAATAGATGTCATTGAGTCCGGGGTGGATCATTTATTCATTCAGCGAACAGCAGCAGCTGCGGATCAGACTAGGAGGAGTAAGACTTAGTCCCTGTTCTTGCAGAAGTGAAGTTGAAGTCCCCAATATGGCAGAAATCACACAGATCACTGAGACTTTGGAAACCCTGCCAGCCGGGGGTGGGGAGAGAATGCTTTTTGAGGTAGGAATCATTCCGTGCGTGGTGTTCTGAGCATTCCCTGGCGGCGATGCTGGGGGCGGGGCGGGGAGGTGTGCAGTGGCAGCATTTCTACTCACGCGTGTGGCGTCCACGACCTGATAAAGTCAAGTTTTAGGACCCTCCCTGCCCCCACTTCCCAACAGACAACCAGTGGTGTTGTTAGGGGGAAAAGGCTGTCCCAAAGCTCATTCCATGCAGGCTTTGTGGACTCCACCCCCACCCCAGGCCAAAGCCAAAGACCCTGGGAACTCCACATCCCATCCCCACCCAAGGGAAGGTGGCTGGGACCTGAGGGTGGGGTTCAGCAGCCAGGTGGGGATAAAGCCAGACACGTGGGCTTTGGAGGGGATCCCCATTTTGGCTCCCCGCCAGCTCGCAGCGTCCGGCCAGCTCGGAGAGTGCCTTTGGGTTTCCAGGTCGGCGGATCGGGTAGGACGCATGAAAGACTTTATTTCCCTATTTTCTCCCTGAGTTGTCCATTTCCCTTCTTTCCTTTTCCCTTGTCAATAAACCTTCATGAACCTTCTGTGTGTGCCTGCCGTGGAGTATTCATAAGTCCCTTTTAAGCGCGCTGGTGAGGACCCACAGCCAGGCGACCCGTTCAATATCGGGGCTGCCCTATAACAGCTGGCGCCCATGTGGTTTCCAAGCTTCACCCGTGGTTTCGCTCTTGCCATTTTGCAGACTGGCACAGGTACCAGGTCACACCGACCCCACCTGGGCTCACCTAGCAGTCACCCCCAGGGTGGCCCCAAAGATGCCAGAGGGGGCGGGGTCTGTTCTCTTCCTGAAGAGAGCCAACTGGGGACTCTCCTGCAGGTCAGAGCTTTCCACTGCCCTCTGACAATTGCTGTTGGGGTCCTGGGGGCACGATCAGTAGATGGAACCTGAGATCTGAACCCTAAACAGCAGTCTTTGGGGCTGGACTCCCTGGGGCCAAATCAGGCTTATCACTAGCAGGTCGAGCAAGTTGCATCATCTCTCTGGGCCTAGGTTTCC